GGTAGTTACATTTTAATCAAGGTCAAAATGATCCTGTACAGAAAGAGCGCATGAGGATCTTGGCATCAGACATTGAGGATGTTTGCCATTTACAAATAAATAAGATGACATCATCTCCTTGCTGTAAGTGTAAGATAATTTACACCTATTAAAGACCAGGAATTGTTGAAGTTTTTCAAATGTATTACACATAAAGCAGGGCAACTTCACTTTTATTCCTTCTGTTTGGGCAGATTTCTGACTATTACCTGTAAAGCAGGACAACCCTAGAATTTTAGTGGAACTAGAGTTATACATTTGCCACGAATTACTAGCATTTCAACCCTGGTCACTTAGAGAACGAGCTGACACCATGTTTGATTTTCATGGTCTGAGATTTTAAAATAAATAAGTTATCTCATTGTCACCACTGGGGAAGGAGAGGAGATGATTAGCTGCAGCCTCTCCCAGCGCTGAGCACAGGGAATAGCTGGCTCCAGGGTTCATCTGCTTCATTCTCTTGCAAGACCTGGGCAGACTCAATATCTGCAAAACAGGGGCCTGAAAAAAGCACTTTACTAGGTGGTGTATCCTCGTACCCTCCTCTTAAGTTGCCCATGCCAAAATGAAGGACAGAGTGGTTCCAACCATTAGCTGGCAAACGGGCTGGCTGATGAGCCACAGCTCAGGATGAGTTGCCCAAAGAACAAGTAATGTCTTTTCAAACAGCAGCGCTTTTTCTGAGCATTAGTTTTGGAAGGGTTTAAGATTTTTACATTTGAGAGACTAAGGGATAGTTTCCTCCGTGCAAACACTAGCACAGAAAGTCTTCTGATTTAGCAACAAATGACCCTTTGGCTCAAGGTCAGTAAAAGTGGAATTACCTTTTCTACCACTTCACTGACTCAGACACCCTGTGAAACAGGCGATTATAACACTGGCAGTCCTATAAAACCTAATTGGTTTTAACCCTGCCCAACACTGCTGCTAGTTACTGCCCCAAACGAAGAGCCACATTGCTGTGCACTGTCACCCTGTTCTGCTCCATGGGAGAAGGAATTTCATAGCAGGAAGTCCAGATAAACACACATGTACTTCTTGAGCCAAAGTACCCTGAGATAATATTTTAAACTGTACCAACTGGTTAGCTCTGCCACAGTCAAACCATTCCCTGCAAAAGTACTCTGGGTGTTAGAACTGTCGAGCAAACGTGTGCCTTCTGGGCTCCAACTGTTCAGAAATACCCATAATATTCTGCCATTCCCCCTGTGCAACCACCCCAGCCTTTCCCCACCAAGCTGAGCCTGTCTCCTGTGGGTGGCATCATGGCCTCAGAGCTTCCCGGGCAGCTCTCTCCTTGTGTAGTCGGGCACAGGTCCCAAAGGGCTGTGAGGACTCCACACGAACTGGGTGCCTTGGCCCCGATCAACCAAGCTGAGTCTAGAAGGGCACAATTGCACAATCACCCCCAAACCATCAGTGAGAGCACCGCACACAAAAAGCGGTGCACCAAAATACCAGACTCTCCTTTTCCCAAGCCCTCTGATACACCAGGAGAATTTCAAGCCACCAAAGCACAGGTGTCTGGTGCTATCTGAGATGTCCTGGGGCTCCTGCTGCCACCCAAGAAGGGAGTGCTCCCCAGTAGACCCCATGTCATACTGCCAACCTCATGCGAGTATCTCAGATACTATCTGACATCTGAAACACTAGTAGAGGTGATATTTGCGATCAGAGTTGCTTCCCTACCATGCTCCTCATAGACATTATTGTTCTATGTGTGTTCACTTTTTGAAAGCTTGGCAGATGACTGAAAAATGCCTTCCATGCCTTTTTGTCTCAAAGTGATTTTGTCCTGCAGAATTTCATCAGCCTTCAGCAGCCTCTTGCTGCTGGCCAAGCGCTCTCAGCAGTTGCAGGCGGGACAACCCTTCCTGAACACACCTGCCCAGTGCCATGTATTGGCCGTTCTGTGGTTGCTCTACCCAATTCCACCATCCTTAGGCAGCTGATTAAAGCTATGAAAAATATGAAGCATGCAAAAACGGATGCAGAAGGGCACACAGCAAAGCAGACAACTGGCTCATGCCCTGCCTCTTTTTTTCCTGCCTATCTACCATCAATATCCTACACACCTTCCCCTCTGCTTGTGAAGACAGGCACTCTCCTGCCTGTTTCCATGCAGCTCAGGATCAGTTAGGCAAGCTAATGAATAGCAATGCAGCTGGCACTGTGCAAGATGAGTCCTTACTCTTCCCCTCCCTCTGCCCTCCAGGTATCTCTGCTCGGAGAGGATGATACAAACTGTAGTTCTCCTCCTGGGCTAACCAGGCTGCCAACAGGGCAGGTTCCCTGGGGTATGAAGAGGTTTTGATCCCTTCGCCTCCCTCCTGCCTCCTCTGCCTGCCTACGGCTGCCACCCCTGCCTGCGCAGCCACAGCCTGGACAGCAGATCAAGCAGTGTGGGCACTGGCAGGCGGAGGGGGCAAAACCAGTTTGCTACAGGGCTGGAAACAGGTTCTGTTGGCCCCACAATTAATACTGAGTTTCTGCCTTTTGTAGGAGCAGTCAGGATCACACCTTCAATTCATCCCACAGGGCAGGAACAGGAAAATTCTGTATTTGTACTGCTCAGGGCGAACAAAAAGAAATACCAGCCCAGAAATGTCTATCGCCTGCCATACCGAATGTGACACTGAGCAAGGAGAGACGCCACTTTCACCAGGGCTCCTGATATCTATGTAATTTGTCTTTTGTTACAGCTGCAGCACAGAATTAAACACAAATAGGCTTTAAACCCATGAAGACTTTCAACCTCTTTGGACTTAAAACTGAAAACAAATGATCCAAAAATTCTGATGGAGAGTTTGCCTTTGTGGAGCCTTTTGGGAGTTTTGGTTCCTGTTCCCCCAGGTGACCAGAAGTCCCACTGCATCCCACCCTCTGCTTCCCACCCGGCTCAACGTGTCTTTAATACTGCATTGCCAGGCCGAGCTAGTCTGTGAGCCTGACCTAACCATACAAATGGGACATACAACACAAACAACAACTCCACAAGGAGCCTGATGGAATTTTTGGTCAAAACATGTCAGGTCATAGGTGAAGCTCTGACTGGAAAGTTGAACCTTTCGCTCATATAAAGCCCAATCTTTGAAAAACAATGAAGTCCCGGACAACCTCAGTTTTGCACTGAAAACCAAAACTTGCTCAGAGATTCCTCCTTTGTAACTCTTTTGTTTGGCACAGCCGTGCTGCCAGCAGTGTGAAGCAGAAGCCTACCTGCACATGCGATTACTTCGGTTTCCTCCAGATGCACAGGTACAGATTCTGATCACTTTAAAGTGATGCCAAAGACAGTAATCTCTGATAGCACTAGGAGTCAGGTCTCATAACAGGCAAGTTTAGGCACTACTCCTGTGCTAATTACATAGTTGTCAAAAATACATAAGCTGGCAGCATGCAGAAAATACAAAATTTGGCATACTTTGGGAAAGCAAAGAGGACCTTCTGCCATAGTCCATCATGCAGCTGAGCTCTGTGTAGTTCTGTAGGGAGCTGCCTTACCAGGTGCCAAACAAGCACTTTTCAGAGAGCATCTGTTCCCAAGCCTCCGGTCTCCACAAGTGGTTGACACGATCTGCAATCGCGTACGTTAACTGGGAGGTTTTTCCCACTGTCCACCTTAGCATCAACAGAAACCCCTTCACTGCATACACCAAAGTACACCCAGAAGTTGTGACAAAGATGTCTGTCTGCTACAGTTTCATGGCTGATCTCATCTCAGGTCTTGATCCAGCAAGGCGTCAGCCCTTGGGCTGGCCTTCAAGCTTGTGAGAATCAAAGGGAACCCTGAAAAGTTCTTTCATTGGATAAGATCACTGAGATCAAGAGGCAAGACCCCTTCCTTTCCTCAGAGTCCAGCCTCTCCATGGGCGTGATAAACTGCACACAGAAGTTGAATATTCACCACTGAAAACACTCGGTAGGTTTAAGAGTTGCCATGAAGCACTGCTGGGCATTTTATCAATGATCTCTGTCTCAAAAAACACATCCTCATGTCTTCTGAATTGTTCTTTTTCCTGCTGAC